GAGCAGGTAGTCAAATGGAAAAGCACATATCAGTGTGCAGAATCCACAGAACAAACAAGAAGGAACTTGAGTATTAATTAGGTGAGCTGGGAGAGGGAGTTGGGTTATATTCCTGAACCAAACAGTAGGAAGCTGCAACAGTTGAAACTGATGTTCTCGCATTAAAGGTAGAGCCTGTAATGCATACCTGTGTTCTAGTTCCTGTACTCAGCAAAACCTGCTTCTCCCAGCTTTTCCCATCTTCATATATAGCATTTCTATTTATCTAGTCATCAAAGTTACTTAGGATTACCTAATTTTGCAGATCACATGTAATTAACTGGGTAACAATTCCCCTTGATTCTACATTTGAAAGTATCTTGATTCAATTCTGTTTCAGCTACCTTAGTTCAGTTTCTTCTCATTTTTCACATGAATTAAGATTTCTTTCTGTTTGTGTATGTGTGTTCATTCTTCGCTACATTTAAAAAATATTCAATGGAAGTTATTTTTTAAAAGCTCAAATCTGAATGTACGTTCCCTTATGTAAACCTTGAATAGCTCAGTTGGTCCTATTGAGTAGAGCCCAGACTTCTTAGAATGGCATTTATTTTTCAAATCTTTGGAGATTTTCTGGTGACGTTTTTATTGTTGGTTTCTAATTTAACTTCATTACGGTTAGAGAACACACCTAGTATGGTTTCAGTCCTTTGAAATATATTGAAAATTGGTTTATGGCCAGCATATGTTCTCACATGTCACTTGAGAGAATGTGTATTCTGTGGTTGTGGCAGAGTTCTATGAATATCACCTAGGTCAAGTTTTCTTACAGTGTTGTTCAAACCTTCTAATTCTTATTGATTTGGGGAGTTGAAATTTTATCAGTTTTGGGGAAAGATGTGAATTTGTCTTATTTCTCCTTTTAGTTCCATCAATTTTGCTTCATGTATTTTCAATCTATATTATTAGGCACATACCCTTTTACATCTTCTTGAGGAATTAACTCTTTTATCATTATAAAATATCTCTCATCAGCTCTGATATTTCTCAAAAATCAAATTAATGACATAGAGAGCATACTTGGGATGCTCACCCAGAATGCCCAGTGAAAGGACAGAGATGGAAATGATAGGTAAGAGAAAATTGTACATTCTAAAGAAAGGAAATTGAGACTTAATGAATAATAGAAATCTCCAAAGGAGAAACCAGAAGAAATGGAACAGCAGCATTAATCAAATTTGTCATTGTAGAAAAGTTTCCAAGGCTGAAAATGACCTGAGGAATAAACAGGTTTTATGTGTTCTAAAGAACATTATGAAA